TGGGACTCACCAGGTTCTTAAAAAAAAAAAATTCAGACACAAAAAAAAACCGGTGAACTGGTAAAAAAAACATGATTTGCTGGGAGGTGCTAATAACCTGCAACACTTGGCAGAAATCTTATAATCTGTGAGGAAAAGTGACAAGGGCACAATCTATACCGATAACACAAGCTCTGGGGAGCTGGTAATATTTATGTCAGGAAGAAAGGCCAACGCTCTGCCCAACGAGGCTGCACAGCTCAAGAGTCAGCCAGCTGGTCCTCACCAAAGCCTCTCATGCCACTTCCCTTGATAATGACAATGACAACGTTCCTATATATAATATTCTCTTGCCTCTCACACTGTCTACAGCTGTGTGTGTCCCTCCACCCAAATGCACCCGTGGTGATAGACCTGCGGGAGGCACTTCTGGGTTGCAAATGAAGGCAACTATCAAATTACTCTCAGTCTTAACTAGACTAAGTCCCCTCTAGACTTTTGTTTTCAGCCTAAACTGAAATGAAGACGATCATGTCAAATTCTTACATAACTGATCCCAAATCTGGCCACAGGCAGTGCAACTGAGATTGGTGCCAGCCAACCTGCTCCGAGGGAAGACGAGGGAAGAGAGGATCTGGGACATCGGTGACTTCCACCCCACAGGGAGAACACACTGGCTCCAAGAAACAAATACCACACTTCCTCTGATAAAGAAAACAATCTAGACTGTTTCGCAGTATGCATAAGCTCCTCTTTTAAGGGGTGATGTAGCTGCCGTTGCCTTCCCCCATGGGGAAGCTGGGTGGGATGTCAGAATTAAGTCCCCTGTGTGGACTCTAAGCGATGACTGACCGGCTTTCCCAGTCCTAATGGTAGACAATACTCCAGAAACAAACCATCATTAGCAAAGCACATAAAGCTATCAACAGTGGACGTAGGGTAGGTGCCTCTTAGACACAGTCTGTAGGACTGTTGCTTCCTAGATATACCCATTTTCTGTTCATGATTTCATGACCGCAAGCCCATTCTGGGTATATCTAGGAGCTGGCAAACCACAGCCCACAGGCCTGCTGCCTGTTTCTGTACAGAACGTTTCACTGGACACACTCACACTTAGCCTTCACTGTCTGTGGCTGCTTCTGTACAAGAAAAGCAGAGCAAAGTAGCTAAGAGGGCGACTGGCCATTTACAGAAAAAGTTGGTAGTTGTCTGCCCTGGAGACTAAAGGCAATTTAGGGAACTGTCTCTCTCTAAAAAGGTCTTCAGAAAAAGAGACCCAATTATTTACCTATTAGTACCTGATTCTCCTGCAAGTTTCCAAGCACAGGAAATGTCACCCTTGAGGCACAGAATCTTCAGGCAATAACTTCAGGAGTCACCAGTATGCTCTGGACAAGAACTTCTCTGTGATTTAAACAATCTCTCACTCATGCTAAGCTGTGACCCCTGACAAAGTCTATGGAACCCAGAGGAGGAATGAGTGTGTGTGTGTATACATGTATGTATACGCAACATGCACATATATGTGTGCACAAACATACATATACACATATGATGGAGTTTGGATGTGTCGTCCCCTCCGAAACTCACGTGAAAATTTGATCCCCAGTGTGGCAGTGTTGGAAACTGATTGAGTCTTGGGGGCGGATCCCTCATGAATGGATTAATGCTCTCCCTGGGGGAAGGGAGATTATGAGTGATTTCTTGCTCTATTAGTTCCCGTGAGAGCTGGTTGCTTAATAGACTGGCACCTTCTCTCTCTCTCTCTCTCGCTTCCTCTTGCCATGTGATCTGCCTGTACCCACTGGCTCCCTGCCACTTTCCGCCATGAGGAGAAGCAGCCTGAGGCCCGTGCCAGATGCAGCTGTCCCAGAATCGTGAGCCAAATAAACCTCTGTTCTTTATAAATTACCCAGTCTCAGGTATTTCTGTTATAGCAACACAAACGGACTAATACACATACATGAACACATATACGTACATATATTCAGGGATCATTCCAAAAGGAGCAGACTGCTGCTCTTCAGGTAAGGCGAGGGCAAGGGCAACGGCGGCAATTGTCTACCCCCGAAAGCTCTGCAGGGAGAAGGCCCCGCCCTGTGCTTGCCTGTCCTCTCATTCACATGCCAGCTTGCTGTCAAAGCTAGAGAGCCCGATGGCAAAGGCTTGAAGTGCACACAGCGGGTAGTTGTAGTCCAGCGTGAAGACATCGTCGGCCACACGTCCAAACTGCATGACTATATAGTCAGCTAGGAGCAGAAAGAAATTAGGACATCAGAAGGTAACGTGGTTGTACTGGGGAAAAACCTATTTAAGATACAGAAAAAAGTCCTCCAAATAGGTCAGTTAATCATGAGGTCTCTTTAAAACATCCATCTACTTTAAGTATGAAAAGAGGCATTAACAAGAGTGTCTGCTAACCGTCAGCAGAGTTTCTATCACTAATCCTCTCACCTGGAGAGAATGGCAGACTAGTTCTGAGTAGCATGAAAGGGAAAGAGGACAGGAAACTCAAGGGTAGCTTGCTGGGAACAGTCCAAGCTCCAAGGGCTGCAGTTACCAGGAACCCTTTGTTGAGGGCTATTTGCGTTTGCTTCCCTGCCAGCCTTATCTAAGACTTCTCTGATTTGCCCTGGTAAATCTCTCACACTCCTCTCCACACCTCAACACAGTGACTTACAAGTTTTCTTCTAAAACTGTAGTTTTCTCTCCCCAAATAAATCATTTTTTTTCTAATAATTCCCTCCTGAATATACCTTCCTATCAACCATAGGAAATGTTCATTTCCCCATCTTGTAAGAACTTTCTTCTCCTGTTCCCATCCAGCCCCTCCTGTGGACTCACAGTCATTTCCGTGGACTATCTGAAAGTTCTTCACGGATGCCTGAGTGACCCGGCCATGGAAGTTGAGGACGTAGGACTGAATGTCGTCATTCCAGACTGGGGCCTTGTTGCGCAGTTCAATCAAGTTCTCCATGGTTTTGTTTTGCCATTTTGAGAGCAAGCTCTCATTGTCCTGTTCAAAGGGAAATCATTACTTTGTACTGAGACCGTAAGAACTCATTCATTCTCAACTCTGTGAAGTAAAAGACGGGGTAGAGGAATATTTTCTCCATTTCAGAAATGGTAAAACAGAAGCAAAGAATTAAAGCCAAAGACTAAGCCCGGCTTTTTTATTCTTATGCACTGCCCCGCATTTCTCTCTGCAGATGAAGCGGACTCAAGTCAACACTTCAGCAACAGCTCTGCAGCTGCACTCATCCTGAGGTTTCGGAGTGATGGCGCCCCTCAGGAAGAGTCTCAGCCATACTCCAGTTTGGGGTTCTGGAAGAATCAATACTTTTTTAGTACCTGTCTCTTTTGTATTGTATTATTGTCTTACAGAGTCCTTTGCTGATTAAATATGTTCTTACTTACATTTCGTGGCTGAAATGGGATCCGTTCGTGATTCATATTCATCCCTGGAATGATCACAGACATTTTCCTAGGGCCTTTGAATCCAAGCACGTTTGTTTCCTGGAATATAGGAAAATAAGGTAGAACTTGGAAACGGAAAGGAAAATGAGACCACACTCTGCTATAACATGAGACTTCTGGGCATGCAAAATGTTGACAATGTGCAGAGCACCAGGGATAGAGAATCAGAAAATGAAAGTAACACTGCGCCTCTCTGTAGAGTGTGACCACCTGCATTCAAAATAGATGCTGCTGGCTCGACACCTTACTTGTACTCTTTAGTCCTAAGTAGAATTTGAGACAACTGAAAAAACCATCCAAATTTGTCATCGTCAATAAGTGTTTATTTCCCAGGGAGGGCATGGCACTACACTTTTAATTAAACACGGCCTGCACCAGGAGGTTAAAAATTCAAATGCCTGTCAAGCCAGGGAGATTATATGAATATATATATAAGAACGTTAAATAGATGGACGTGTGTGTGTGTGCATGTATTCATATACATATATATGAAAGCCGCAGAAGAAAAATACATCATAAAGCNTCTGGGTATATCTAGGAGCTGGCAAACCACAGCCCACAGGCCTGCTGCCTGTTTCTGTACAGAACGTTTCACTGGACACACTCACACTTAGCCTTCACTGTCTGTGGCTGCTTCTGTACAAGAAAAGCAGAGCAAAGTAGCTAAGAGGGCGACTGGCCATTTACAGAAAAAGTTGGTAGTTGTCTGCCCTGGAGACTAAAGGCAATTTAGGGAACTGTCTCTCTCTAAAAAGGTCTTCAGAAAAAGAAACCCAATTATTTACCTATTAGTACCTGATTCTCCTGCAAGTTTCCAAGCACAGGAAATGTCACTCTTGAGGCATAGAATCTGTTGGGCAAAAACTTCAGGAGTCACCAATATGCTCTGGACAAGAACCTCTCTGTGATTTAAACAATCTCTCACTCATGCTAAGCTGTGACCCCTGACAAAGTCTATGGAACCCAGAGGAGGAATGAGTGTGTGTGTGTATACATGTATGTATACGCAACATGCACATATATGTGTGCACAAACATACATATACACATACATAAACACGTATACATACATATATTCAGGGATCATTCCAAAAGGAGCAGACTGTTGTCAGGCAAGGGCAAGGGCAACGGCGGCAATTGTCTACCCCCGAAAGCTCTGCAGGGAGAAAGCCCCGCCCTGTGCTTGCCTGTCCTCTCATTCACATGCCAGCTTGCTGCCAAAGCTAGAGAGCCCGATGGCAAAGGCTTGAAGTGCACACAGCGAGTAGTTGTAGTCCAGTGTGAAGACATCATCTGCCACACGTCCAAACTGCATGACTATATAGTCAGCTAGGAGCAGAAAGAAATTAGGACATCAGAAGTGAAAGAAAGTGAGCTGAGATGCCAGGTACCGTTGAAGCTTTTTTAAAGAAAGAAATCTGCCAGGCTGTACTCAAAATGCAGGACAGCCTGGGGCTCCCCTGAAAATGGGGGACAGCCCCAATAATGGGTTTGCGAGAGTTTGCACCCAAAAGCTAATAAATAGCTTTTGGGCGCGAAATGTACGGGGGGAGGGACCATTAGGTCGGTGTAAATGGGTGGAGAACTGCGCCAATGCAGAAGCTGGAAAGTTGTTTCTAAGTCAGGAGGCTTCTGGTAAAGGAAGATGGGAGGGGCTTGGTGTTGGAGTGGAAGACGAGGCCTGCAGCTAGTTTGTGCTGGTGCTTACTGTGTGCACAATGGCGCCGGCCACGTCCAAAATCCATCAAGACGGTAACGTGGTTGTACTGGGAAAAAACCTATTTAAGATACAGAAAAAAGTCCTCCAAATAGGTCAGTTAATCATGAGGTCTCTTTAAAACATCCATCTACTTTAAGTATGAAAAGAGGCATTAACAAGAGTGTCTGCTAACCGTCAGCAGAGTTTCTATCACTAATCCTCTCACCTGGAGAGAATGGCAGACTATTTCTGAGTAGCATGAAAGGGAAAGAGGACAGGAAACTCAAGGGTAGCTTGCTGGGAGCAGTCCAAGCTCCAAGGGCTGCAGTTACCAGGAACCCTTTGTTGAGGGCTATTTGCGTTTGCTTCCCTGCCAGCCTTATCTAAGACTTCTCTGATTTGCCCTGGTAAATCTCTCACACTCCTCTCCACACCTCAACACAGTGACTTACAAGTTTTCTTCTAAAACTGTAGTTTTCTCTCCCCAAATAAATCATTTTTTTTCTAATAATTCCCTCCTGAATATAACTTCCTATCAACTATAGGAAATGTTCATTTCCCCATCTTGTAAGAACTTTCTTCTCCTGTTCCCATCCAGCCCCTCCTGTGGACTCACAGTCATTTCCATGGACTATCTGAAAGTTCTTCACGGATGCCTGAGTGACCCGGCCATGGAAGTTGAGGACGTAGGACTGAATGTCGTCATTCCAGACTGGGGCCTTGTTGCGCAGTTCAATCAAGTTCTCCATGGTTTTGTTTTGCCATTTTGAGAGCAAGCTCTCATTGTCCTGTTCAAAGGGAAATCATTACTTTGTACTGAGACCGTAAGAACTCATTCATTCTCAACTCTGTGAAGTAAAAGACGGGGTAGAGGAATATTTTCTCCATTTCAGAAATGGTAAAACAGAAGCAAAGAATTAAAGCCAAAGACTAAGCCCGGCTTTTTTATTCTTATGCACTGCCCCGCATTTCTCTCTGCAGATGAAGCGGACTCAAGTCAACACTTCAGCAACAGCTCTGCAGCTGCACTCATCCTGAGGTTTCGGAGTGATGGCGCCCCTCAGGAAGAGTCTCAGCCATACTCCAGTTTGGGGTTCTGGAAGAATCAATACTTTTTTAGTACCTGTCTCTTTTGTATTGTATTATTGTCTTACAGAGTCCTTTGCTGATTAAATATGTTCTTACTTACATTTCGTGGCTGAAATGGGATCCGTTCGTGATTCATATTCATCCCTGGAATGATCACAGACATTTTCCTAGGGCCTTTGAATCCAAGCACGTTTGTTTCCTGGAATATAGGAAAATAAGGTAGAACTTGGAAACGGAAAGGAAAATGAGACCACACTCTGCTATAACATGAGACTTCTGGGCATGCAAAATGTTGACAATGTGCAGAGCACCAGGGATAGAGAATCAGAAAATGAAAGTAACACTGCGCCTCTCTGTAGAGTGTGACCACCTGCGTTCAAAATAGATGCTGCTGGCTCGACACCTTACTTGTACTCTTTAGTCCTAAGTAGAATTTGAGACAACTGAAAAACCATCCAAATTTGTCATCGTCAGTAAGTGTTTATTTCCCAGGGAGGGCATGGCACTACACTTTTAATTAAACACGGCCTGCACCAGGAGGTTAAAAATTCAAATGCCTGTCAAGCCAGGGAGATTATATGAATATATATATAAGAACGTTAAATAGATGGACGTGTGTGTGTGTGCATGTATTCATATACATATATATGAAAGCCGCAGAAGAAAAATACATCATAAAGCGTCAAGTCGAGTGGTTCTCAGGCACATAGATAAAATCTCATCAGAATCAAATGATGAGATCAAGTTAAAGAAAGTCGAGACTTTGGGATCAAGGCAACGACTGAGTGGTGTTGATTCCTTCTTGCTTTCTTTCACGTGTGCACCAGGCCCTGTGCTAGTGTGGATCCAGCAGTGAATAAGAGCTCACGAGAGAGGATAAGCTCATAGAGAAGGTTCACGTTGAGCAAGTAATAACAAGTACATGATGTGAGTTACATGCCATGGGGATACAGACAAAGGAATGTNAAGAGCTCACGAGAGAGGATAAGCTCATAGAGAAGGTTCACGTTGAGCAAGTAATAACAAGTACATGATGTGAGTTACATGCCATGGGGATACAGACAAAGGAATGTCAACCACATCTAGTGGTCGGGAAAGACTCCTCTTATGATGTCAGTAGTAGCTGATAAGGCCAAAGGCAAGGAAGGGGAAAAGGGAAGGCTCCAGGTGAGGAAAGATCAGGGTGGCTGGACAAAGGAACTGCAGGAGGGCTGTGGTGTCTAGAATGACAGAATGAGAGGGAAGAGTGCCACTAGAGGAGTCTGAAAGGAAATGCTAATGTGTTAGGGCTTTGTTCTGTATGCAGTAGGTAGCCATGAAAAGATCGGAAGCAGGAGAAGATGAACAGGACCAACTGCAGCCCTGTTTTAAGAGGATTTATTTGGCAGCAGTACAGAATGAACTAGATAGGAAAAGAGTAAAAGCAAAGAGATCAGTTTTAACTTATGGTAACCTCTGGTCAATGGATAGGAGGTAAGGAAGGTTTAAATTAAGTGCCATTAGGAAGAGAGAGGAGCAGGTAAGGCAAGAAATATCACAAAAGCAAAAAATAATTAAAGTTGGCAATGCATACATCATTAAAACTTGAATATATGGGGAAAATTATACCAGCAACAGAAAAAGGGATCATAAAAGTAGAAAGAGGCTTGGGAGGGAAGATTCTTAGTCCAGCTTTATTTACATGAAGCTTAAAGAGCTGGCAGGGCACCCAGGAGGTTAAGGCGAAGAATGCGTCATGAGGACAGCACTTACGTAGCAGATGGCAGCCAGCTCCTGCCGGATATGGGCCTTTTCTACCAGGCCCTGGGCCCTGACTGGGCTGACACCATGGTCATAAACTGTAAACTTGGTCCCCATGAAGTTGGATCTAGAATCAGAAGAAAAAGTCACCATGTTTGTTTGTGGGTTTTTTTGGCAGCTGGCTGGTACAGGGATCAAACCCTAGACCTCGGTGTTACCAGCATCATGCTCTTACCAACTGAGCTAAAAGGCCAGCCACTGAAAAAAGTCACCACGAAGATCTGTACTTTTTCTCTCATACAAACATAATCTAGGAGAGGTACGTCAGAGAACGGAAGCCTATGCGCCTGTTCTCCAAATGTCTAAACGTTCTTCATCACTTTTTCAAAGGTCTTCTCATTAAAACAAGGGACTTATATTTTCTTTTAACTCTTTTTTTAAGATTACAACATCAATACATACTAATTATTAACCCATAGTGCTCTCAGCCAATGAGGAGGCGGGGGCAGGGACGTGCACACTAGGAAATAAATTGCTTGTTATAGCCCTTTTCCATGTGCCTGCCCGTCAGACACCTGAACCTTGCAAGGCCATAATTAAAGTCTCGTTTCACTGTACCTTGTGTCTCTGTGTCCATCCTTTGGCCTTGGACAGGTGAGGGTGTTTCTCACAACATCATGGTCATAAACCGTAAACTTGGTCCCCATGAAGTTGGATCTAGAATCAGAAGAAAAAGTCACCATGTTTGTTTGTGGGTTTTTTTGGCAGCTGGCTGGTACAGGGATCAAACCCTAGACCTCGGTGTTACCAGCATCATGCTCTTACCAACTGAGCTAAAAGGCCAGCCATTGAAAAAGTCACCACGAAGATCTGTACTTTTTCTCTCATACAAACATAATCTAGGAGAGGTACGTGAGAGAACGGAAGCCTGTGCGCCTGTTCTCCAAATGTCTAAACGTTCTTCATCACTTTTCTAAAGGTCTCTCATTAAAACAAGGAAGGGACTTAGATTTTCTTTTAACTCTTTTTAAGATTACAACATCAATACATACTAATTATTAAAAAAAGCTATTGTTCTGAAACTACGTGAATAAAACAGAAATAGGACAGTGACATAAGGCTGCTGTCACCTGAGTTTGCCAATGTAACGTTCCCCTTCACGAGATAAATCTGTTGGGTCAGTGGAGATAATGTAGTTGGATGTTTTGCTCTTTTTCCGCTTTCTACCTGCAAGAAGAAATATCTGGAAAAGGAACAGTGTCAGTCAGAAATGAAGTCCAGAGCACCTGAGGGTCGTTCTACTTTTTCCTTCTGCAAATGTTCAGCAAGTGCCTATCATATGCCAACCTGTCAATCTTTGGGCCTTTATCCCTTTTTCCAACCCTCTTAACGCTTCTCAGAATTCACTATCAGGGTTTCCTTCCAACACAATTTTTCTAAATTTGCTAGCTTGATTCTCCGTATAATTATTTACAACTTTATCCTAAAACTTCCAGTAACTTTTAGAAAATTTCCCTCCAATGCCATAAGTAAGCGTCTCTCCAACTTTAGAAGAGACAGGATCCTGAACACCCTCCACCCTTCACTGTCACTGCTTTCCTAATGCTCCTTTTTGTGTTTTGTCGTTATTTTAAACCCCTGTGACTTCAATCATGTGAACACCATCACATTTGTGCATCCTTCCTAAATTCTACTAGACTCGGACAACAACAGACAAGCAGGACAGTGGCAGTGGCTAAGTGGGGGATTTGGAATCACACAAAAATGGGTTTGAATCTGGCTCTGCCACTTACTAGTGCAATTTTGGGCAAGTCAGTCACTCCCTCAGCCCCAGTTACCTCACCCATAAAGCAGAGATGAGAAATCCAACCTAACCAGGTTGTTACAAGGAGTACAGGTGATAATAAAACATTTAATACATGCCTGGTATGTTGTAAATGCTCAACAAATAGTGGTTACAGTAAGGATACCTACTATCATCTCATCTCTAGGCTCTTAAAATCATCCACTGAGACCTGGTATTAATATAAAAGACATTTTCATTAGCAAGTATTAAATTATCTCAAACTTATAAATTAGAATTTCGAGGGTGCAAAAGAAGACATTTAACTTGCATGTCCTTCTATATTTCCAATTCCCTAAAATTTGCTCTCCTTCTACACTGTCATGTTCTGCCATAATAAAAAGAAAACCAAACAACACCCAAAAAGTAAATAACGGGAGGGAGATAAAAATGACTACATTAGAATATTCCCTTCTATTTTCTTCCATTACAGATAAAACGCTTTTTCTTGGGGCAGTCGGGAGGGGTGGATCACGCCTGTCAGACTATGAGCTCTCCGAAGGCTATGAGAACACAGCACAATCTTCTTCCAGCTGCCTCGGTCTCACACCAGCGTTGTTTCCCTCTCACAAGGCCCATCAACATTCTATTCCTACAACGCTCTTTTCCTCTCTCTCAAGAGCTGTCCTAGGAATCAATTCTCATACCTTCTGATTTTCATCTTTTTCCAAGTGCATATAGTAGGTGGGGAAGAGACCCCGATCCATTCCTTTTTTATCCCTGGTTATCTGACACTTCACTGTGACACCTCGAGGGGCAGGACTAAACGCAAAGTCCTCTAAATTCTCCACTTCTCCCAGCTGGTTATCTGCCTGCTGGGCTGCAGTTCCAGAAGCTCCTGTATCCTGAAAGGACAGCCAGGCATGAGCAATAGGAAGATGGGTCAGAAAATCTCATACTCTCTGTGAGAAACAACAGGAAAAAACTTACTGATTTACCCCTATGTCTTCAGTATTCTGACAAAATAAGGGGAAACTCTGAAAAGTTAAACAAGGATGTGAACATTGGGAGTAATGAAGGAGCCAAGCATGAAAAAGGGATATAGTCTCACAACAGCTGACCCGAGACAGAAGAAACCAGAGAGGTGACAAACTTTAAGTCTAAATTCAAGCTTAGGGCTGGCCGGTTGCTCAGTTGGTCAGAGCGTGGTGCTGATAACACCGAGGTCCTGGGTTTCATCCTTGTATCCGCCAGCACCAAAAAACAAACGAACAAAAAAACCAAATTCAAGCTTAAATCTTTTGAAAGAACTCCCCATGCAGTAATGGCATTTAAATACTGAAGACATGTTTAGGAAACAGTTAAAGTTATCTCCAAAGGAAGAAGTTTCAGAACCGCATACTGTGGTTGATTTGTGGCTGGAAGCAGAATTGGGTCTCCCTGTTTTTGAATATGGTGAACAGGATCTTAATTTTTTTCCTCCTTCTTCCTCACCATCAGTCTCCTCCTCATCGAAGTTCAAACAACCTGAGATACCTGGTAGAAAAGGAAGAACTATCAACAACTGCCAACACTGGTTCAAAGAAGAAAAACTCTGAAACAAAGATAATTTTAATTTTCTTGCTTAAAACATTCCTAACTATTCTTATAGTGGACCCCAAAAAGTAGATTTCTAAGCCCCTTTGTTGTAAACCTTGCTGCTTGCCTGTTTCAGAGAAGTTGCACGCTCGAGTTTCAAAAGCCCCTTAACCATATATCCTGCCACTGTAACCCCGCTTGGTGAAGCCCCTCACCTGTTTTACGAAGCCCCCCAGCTTGGTTGACTCTGCCTGGATACAGACAGGGCCAATAAAAGGCTTGCATGCCTGCTTGAGAAAACTATATAACCACAGCTCTCCCTGCATTCGGGGTCCCAGGATCTCAGAACGGGAGTTTACCTGGGTCCCACTGGACTTCCTGTCTTACTAGCATAATAAACTTCCTGACTCCGTCTTTCCGAGTGACTGGAATTGTTTCCTTGCCGAGTTCTTTCCATAACATTCTGACCCAACATACAGCTATTTTATACAAATTTTGACAGTTCCATCTCTTGTTTTTCCTTCTACTGTTGCCACCCTAATTTAGCTTTTTAAAACATGTGTCTATTGGGAAAACATATTTGCAAATCATATATCTGATATATATTTATATATATATAAATGATACAGTATATAAAGAACGCCTACAGCCCAACAGCAACAACAAAACAAGCTACTCAATTTAAAAATGGGAAAAAGACTTCAATAGACATTTCTCCAGAGAAGATATACAATGGCTAATAAGCACACGAAAACATGCTCAACATCGCTGGTCATTAGGGAAGTGCAAATCAAAACCACAATAAGATACCACTTCATACTCATTAGATGGCTGTTATTTTTTTAAAAATGGAAAACAACAAGTACTGGCTAAGATGTGGAGGAAGTGAGCCCTTGTGCATTGCTAGTGGCAATGTAACATTGTGCAGCTGCTGTGGAAAATGGTGCCGTGATTCCTAAAAAACTTAAACACAGATTTACCATACTCCAGCAGTTCCACTTCTGGATTTATACCCAAAAGCACTGAAAGCAGAACCTGAACAGATTCATTTGTAGACGGATGTTCACAGCAGCATTACTCACAATAGCCAAAAGGTGGAAACGACCCAAACGTCTGCAGCTGCTGAATGGATAAACCAGTGGTGGTGTATTCATGCGATGCAATATTACACATCCTTTAAAAGGGATGCAATTCTGATCCATGTCACAATATGGAGGAAACCTGAGGACATGATGCTAAGTGAAACAGGCCAGTCACAAAGGACAAACCTTGTATGATTCTACTTATATGAGGTACATAAAACAAGCAAACTCAGAGGGGCAGAAAGTAGAACAGAAGTTAGCAGGGGCTGGGGGCAGGGAGGAATGGGTACAAGTCTCTGAATGAGTACAAGTCTCTGGGACGATAAAAAGTGTCTGGAGATGAACGGTGGTGACGGCTGCAGAACACTGAGCAGGTGCTTAACACCACTGAATCGTACACTTTTATCCTCTTTTTCTTTTTGGCAGCTGGCCAGTACAGGGATTGAACCCTAGACCTTGGTATTATCAGCAACCACACTTTAAATCAACTGAACTAACCAGCCAGCCCTGAATCGTACATTTAAAAATGGTTAAAACGGTAAATTTTATGTTATGATATATATTTGACCATCATAAAAAAATACAACGATCCACTGTTCTCTATGCCAGTTATTTTTTTGTTTTTCTGCATTTTGTTAATCTCCAGTCTTGTTACCTAACTCCAGTTAGAAATGTTTGAAATACAACTACCTTGGATTTATGGAGTGCCTTTTACAGAAAATTTAAAACTATTAGATGAAAAACTATTTTTTCATTTTACCCTCACATTTATTTCAGTTACAGGAGATACTGGTGGTCTTATTTTTTGTTTTGTTTCTTGTTTGTTTATGGGATATTTAGTCTGCAGGGGAATACACATGTAAAATAAAGTGTGGTGTGTGTTATAAAAGTGTGGTGTTCAGACTTACACATGGGAGTATGAGGCTCAGGGAGAATAATTTCTGCAGGAGAAAGAGGCAGAGAACAACTTAAACTAAATTCTCTTTTCTCTTTTGTCCACAAGATGAAGTTATCACTCACGTAATAGTTGAAATAGCCCCCAAATCATGTATTACACGTAGATGTAACAACAGTGTGTCTTTGTCTTTTTTTCCAAATCACTCCCTGCCCACATTCAACCATTTCAGAAGAGAGAAAACTATGATTTATTTTACATGGTGCATAAATAAAATGGCATTAGCTTTACTCAAAGACACCCAAGAGTAAGACAAAGGCCAGTTAAACATCGATCTCAAGTGGAAAGATATGTCCACACAAAAACTTATATATGAATGTTCATAGCAACATTATTCATAATAGCCCAAAGTAGAAACAACCCAAATGTCCATCGACTGATAGATAAAATGTGGTGTACCCATATAACAAAATGTTATTTGATGATAAAAGGGAACGAAGTACTGATATGTGCTCCAACACAGATGAACCTTGAAAATATTACGCTACATAAAAGAAAGCATTCATAAAAGACTACATATTGTATGATTCTATTTATATGAAATATCCTGAATAGGCAAATCGACAGAGACAGAGTAAGGCTGGTGGTTGCCTGGGGCTCGGGGGTTGGCAGGAAATGGGAAGTGACTGCTGTGGGTACAGGGTTTCTTTTTGGGGTAATGAAAAAGTTTAAAGTGATTTTGATGATGGTTGCAGAACTTTGTGGATATACTAAAAACCAATGAATTGTTCACTTTAAATGCATGAATTGTATAATATGTGATTTATATCCCAAAAAGCTGTTATTAAAAAAAATTCTTTGGCTTGTAAAGGATATTTTTTTCTTCTGCTTTCTAAAGTATTAACTTTTTTTTTTTGGTAGCAAGAAGGCAGAAAATCTTGATGTCTCACTATCATATGGATATCTTCATTTAATACTATGTTTTCAAACGCTGTTTTTATACCGTGAACTCATTCATATGAGTACATGTCTTGACAGAGATCAAAGATTTCTCTCAAACTTTTAAGACAAGTAAATTGGATCCACTTAAGGGACATAATTTGCCAAACTGACACCTGTTAGAACTTAATAAATAGAGCACCTAGTGAGTTTTACAGTCAAGAGGTAAGTTGTTGAGAAATAGAAAGACACTGTTTTATCTGACACTGAAAGGCTGATTCTGAGAAAGAACAGAGCAGTATTTCAGAAGGCAGTGCAAAAGGAGACGACTTGGTGTTCACAGTCAGGAACAAAGAACTAGCCCAAGAGTCAGGAAATCTAGGCCTGCCACCATTCAGCTAGATGACTTGGAGGAAGTAATGTAGCTTTTGGTTAAACATGAAGTTCTCTTGCTCTGATTCCTCCTATCGGTCCAACCACATCCTTCACTCTCTTTTGTTGTAAAAACAGTGGTAGCAAAGTTATAGGGACGTACCATGGCCAGACAGGGAAATGAGGCAGAGAATTATAGACAGGGAAATAAGGCTGAAAAGAGTGAAGCTGTTTGTCCCCTTTCCCAGCCAGAGTGGCAGAGTCGAGGTTCGAAATCCAGCAAGCTAGTTCCGGGGCTCGGCTCTAATCCATTTCACTAGACCGCCTTTGCTACAGCCTGCACGCTGGTCATCCGTCCCGGTCTGCACAGACATCCCATGTTTGCTACACTTGGATGCCTTTGCACATGCTATGTGTTCTGCCAACATTTGCCACCTAACTTGCAGCGTGATGTAGGACAAATTACTAAGCCTCTCAAAGGACTAATTTTCTTATAATATATAAAACGGAGAGACAGATACTTATAAGCGTGTCAAAGGACTGCTACAAGTATAAAGTCGACGAGATTATAACTGTCAAGTGCCCAACTGCAACAGACATTGAAGGCGCCAGCCTCCGACTACTTCCCCAGCTGCACTCCTTGGCTCAGTGTCATCACCACCTCCTCCTGGTGCCTTTCCTGCCCCTTCTCATTGCCTGGGCAGAGTAATTCTCTTTCTCCCCTGCTGTGGACTCTCACACACACCACACTATACTGCCACTCCAGGTCAGACCACTCATCAAACCATCTCCTAACTAGCTTTCCTGCTTCCAGACTTGCCCGCCTCCAATCATACTTCATGGTGCAGGATGGTTTTTCTACAGCTAAAATGTGATCCTATCATTCTTCCACTTAAAATCCCTCTTAGGCTGCTATTACTCTTTAGATAAAGTCTAAATTCCTGACATGCCCTCTCAGGTCCTGTGTAATTAGAGCCCATTTATACCTCCAGGCTCATGTCTCTACATTCCCCCTTCCCACCCTATCAGCTCACACTCTGAGGTACGACTGCTCTGAACAGCCAGCTCCTCTTTCTGTGTCAAGCCCCAGCTTAGACACCACTTCCTCCACGGAGCCTTCCAAACTGAAGTCTGGGTTAGGTGCCTCTCCTGGTGCTGTCTTAGCACCTTGATTTTCCACCGAAAGCCTCCATTAGAATAAACACTACATGAAGGCAGGAAACATGAATACTATTATATCCTAAGTGCCTAGAATAATGCCTCATATACAGTATGTACTCAAAACTTACTTTCTAAATGAATCAGTATCTGAGTTTATTTGAATAGATATTCTACCATTCTGTGGCAGACTTTCCTGAAGCATATATCCCAGGACCTGGCAATGCCTACCTCATTATTGGGCTCCAATTTTCTCATCTAAAAAGCAGATGCTTGATCCCTTCTCAACTATAAAATTATTTCTCTAAATGTACAGGAATATTTATGGAAATGAGAACTCTAACTGGCAGAAGGTAGGCTCTAGATCACCATGAGCTACGAAATGGAGGCAGAATAGAGGTACTGAGTGGCACCGTTGTCAAGAGGGTGGGAACTGAAAACAAATTGTCAAAAAGAGAGAAATACTCATACAGTAGCTAATATTTTATATTTGATTTAATTATCTTATTTTTCTCAGGCAGTAATATAAATATTACTATTGTTGACAATGATCAATACTCAGATATCAAAGATGCTTAGTGCTCTAAGCCACATTAGGAGCAATACTGAGTGTAGACTGTTAACCGACAATAAAAGAAAGAAAAGGAAAAGATTACAAATGATTAAGAAGATAAATTGCCTTAAAATCATTACCAATTCTCACCATGTTTTTGGAGAATCTCCTGGAGATCTGGCTTGGAAGCAGTATCCAAAGTTTTTTCCTCATCCACATTCCCTTCAGTATTCTCTTCCGTAGCAGAAGAACCTACTGAGAGAACATGAAGTTTTGTTTCCAAATCTTGAGCATCTGGCTTCAGGAAGGCAGCTGGACCATCAATGCCTAGGGGCCAAAAGAAAAGGAAAAAAACAAAAAGATGAAGAAGAAGGAAGTATTATCTACTACTTAGCCAGTGCTTTTGGTATCTGTGATCAGAATTAAGAACAACCAAGACAAAAACACAAACAAACAACTACCAAACCATTTCACCTCTCCTCCTTCCTTAACATGCACAAGGACATCTGTTAAGAGAACAGTCCAGGGCTGGTGTTCATTTTAACATGCTCTGGTGCTGAAGTAGTATGTATCTGATACTGCACTTCAGAAACTTAAGAATGAGACCAGGAAGACAGAGCAGGTCCTCCACAGTACAGGTCCTATCCAAGCCAACAGCCTGAGCGGCTTGATTCAGAGACTCTTCATCCTACTGTTCCTTCTCCCCCTTGCCATCTCAAATGATCTTTAGAGCTACCTACTGGAAGAATGGATGCTCTCTACCTATTCTTGGCTTCATAATTAACACATGGACATGATCTTTATGGCATCTGTCACTGATTAGACCACTGCTTTTATTCACATTAAAGACCCAGAATGTGATTATGAAGGTTTATGAAGGTACTTAGTAAGAGGCTAATATTGTCCCTTTGGTCCATCTAAGAATCCTCCTGCCTTCTCCTAGGTTTGTGAAAACTACCCGGCAGGAAGTGATGCTGCCTAAATACACACCATGCAGGATGACATCGTTGTAAGGAGTAAGAAGTTCCACCAAAGGAGTTTGCTCCTCACTACCTCTTGGCTTTGACTGACGTACTCTGGCTTCTGGATTTGGCTGTACCATGAGTGGCTCAAGGCGCTTTTTTCTCTGCTTCTTCTCCAGCAGTGCTCTCTAGGGAAAAAATGTAATATTATACTCAGGAGAGTTATCACAAGACCTAGCCACTTCAAACATTTATAGTTTGTCAATGATCCTCATACAATCTCTTGCAAATTATTTTATCCCACTTAGGAAATGAGAAAACTGAGGCACAGAGAGGACCAAAGATTTATTCAATTCATTTAACAAATATTTATTGAGATACCAGACATATGAAAATCCAAGAAAATATGACACCACCAAAAGAATACAGTAATTCTCAAATACCAGACCCTATAGAGCAGGAAACTCTTGAAATGACTGAAAAGGAACTCCAAGCAACGATATTAAAGAAACTCACTGAGATACAAAAAAACTCAATTGGGCAACATAATGAAATGAGAAATAAAAATCCAGGATATGAAGGAGGAAATTTGCAAAGAGATTAACACCTTAAAAAAGAATGTTGCAGAATCATAGAATTGAAAGACTCACTTAAAATAAAAAACACAACCAATAGCTTAAGCAGCAGGCTAGAACAAGCAGAAGAAAGAACTACTGATCTTGAAGACAAGTCTTTTCAAAATAACCCAGGTGAACAAAAAAAAAAGAAAAAAAAAATTTTTTAAAATGAAGAAAATCTAAGAGAGCTAGCAGACAACCTTAAGTACACAACATTCAAATCATGGGTGTTCCAGAAGGATAGGAGAAAGAAAAAGTCATGGAAAACCTATTCACTGAAATAATAACAGAATACTTCCCAGGTATATGGAGAGACATAAACCTTCAGATCCAGGAGGCTCAGAGATCTCCAAACAGATTCAATTCAAAAAGATCCTCTCCAAGACATGTTATAGTCAAACTGGCAAAGCTCAAAGACAAAGAATCTATAAGAAGAGAAAAGCATCAGGTCACCTATAAGGGAGCCCCTATTAGACTGACAGCAAACTTCTTAACAGAAACTCTACAGGCCAAAAAAAAAAGGAATGGAATGATATGTTCAAAGACAAAGAGAGAATCTTAAAAGAAGTAAGAGAAAAGCATCAAGTCACCTACAAGGGAGCCTCTATCAGACTAAGAGCAAACTTCTCAACAGAAACTCTTCAGGCCAAAAGAAAATGGAACGATATGTTCAACATACTAAAAGAAAAAAAATGCCAGACAAGAATACTATACCCAGCCAGGCTATCTATCAGAAATAGTGTATTTTCCGGACAAACAAAAGCTGCAGGAATTCACCACCACACAACCACTACGACAAGAAATCCTCAAGGAAATCCTAAATCTGGAATCCAAAAAATGATAATCACTACCACAAATACACAAGAAAGAAAAAATGCCACTGCAGAACAAAAATGCAAACAAGAAAGAGAAAGAAACTAAATATTAGCACTACAAAAAGCCACAGTGACAATGTAATAATGCCCCTACTTTATTTCTGATTTTAGTAATTTCAGTCTTCTTTCTTTTTTCTTGGTCAGTCTAGATACAGGTCTGCAAATTTTGTTGCTCTTAAAAAAACAACAAAAACCCAAATATTTATTGAACACCTACAAAGACCTACTTAAAATCATACAGTGTATTTCTAGCCAAGCAGAAGCTATAACTCAGGAAATGCTTGTAAGCTATGGACTCAGAATAACTTGGAAACCACTACTAGATCATAAACTCCATAACATGAGGACTATGGCTGCCATGTGCACTGCTGAGGCCTCAATGACTTGGCACAGTGGCCATAACTAAGCATCACTGCTCAGTAGCCTGGCATATAGCAGGCATTCAGATAACATTTGTTGTTGAGGCCTTGCTGCTGCCGCCTGACTCCATCGCCAGCCCGGCTGAGCGCGTGCTGATCAGAGAGGTGCCCAGCTGGAGAAGTCCAAGATCCGTGGAGACCACACACCCTGCGGTGCCAGCACATGACCCAGCAGGTAGGCCTTGCCACCGCCACCCGATTCCATCCTCAGCCCAGCCGAGTGAGTGCTGATCAGAGAAGTGCCTCCCTGGAGAGGCTCAAGACCTGAGGCGACCATGCACCCGAGGCACTAGTGGGCAACCAAGCAGACACTGAGGCAGAAATACCAAATTGGCAGCACCAGCAGCATCCTAGGCAGACAATAGTGTCAAACCAGTGAACCGAGAAATCCCCTGCCACAATGACTAAACATCAAAGGAAAGATACCAGAAATATGAAAAATCAAGAAAGTACACCACCAAAGGGTAATAACTCTCAAGCTCTAGATCCTATAGAACAAGAAGCCCTTGAAATGTCTGATAAGGAATTTCAAGTGATAATTCTAAGGAAACTAAATGAGATACAAGAAAACTTAGCTAGGCAACATGATGAAATGAGGAAAGGTATACAGGACCTGAAAGAAGAAATGTACAAGGAAATCAATGCCCTGAAAAAGAATGTAGCAGAGCTTGCCGAAGAATTCATTCAATGAAATAAAAAACACAACAGATTTAACCAGCAGGCTTGCAGAAGCAGAAGTTAGAACTTCTGACCTTGAGGATGGGCTGTTTGAAATAACACAGGCAGACAAAAAAAAAAAAAAAAAAGAAAGAAAGAAAGAAAAAGAGAAAAAACAATTAAAAACATTGAAGAAAATCTAAGAGATATCAGACAACCTTAAGCACTCTAATATCCGAGTCATGGGTATTCTAGAAGGGGAGGAAAAAGGAAATTGCATTGAAAACATATTCAACAAGATAGTGGCAGAAAACTTCCCAGGTAAAGGAAAAGACACATATCTTCAGATTCAGGAAGCTCATAGATCCCCAAACATATTCAACCCAAAAAGGTCTTCTCCAAGACATGTTATAGTAAAATGGGCAAAACTCAAAGACAAAGAGAGAATCTTAAAAACTGCAAGAGAGAAGCATCAAGTCACCTATAAGGGAGCCCCAATCAGACTAACATCAGACTTCTCATCACAAACCCTAAAAGCCAGAAAAGAATGGGCTGCTATATTCAAAATACTAAAAGACAGAGATTACCAGCCAAGAATACTCTACCCCGCAAGTCTATCCTTCCAAAATGAAGGGCAAACAGTATATTTCTCAGACAAACAAAAACTGTAAGAGTTCACTACCACACAACCAATCTTGCAAGAAATTCTCAAGGGAGTACCGGGTTTGGTACCTGAAAAATAACTACCACTGCCATAAAAACCAAAGAAAAATCAAAACCCAATAGTAAAATACAAATGGCAACAATGAAGAGAAAAAAAAAAGTTTATCTACAATCCAAGGAACCAACAAATACTGAAAACAAACAGTAAATCAGAAAGAAAGGAAAAAAGACACTTGAGATATCCAAACAAAAATCAATAAAATGCTAGAAGTAAATCAACACTTTTCAATAACAACTCTTAATGTAAAAGGATTAAATTCCCAATCAAAAGACACAGACTGGCTGACTGCATTATAAAGGAGGACCCAACTATATGCTGCCTTCAAGAGACCCACCTCAGCTATAAAGACATACATAGACTAAGAGTGAAAGGATGGTAAAAGATTTACCATGCAAACAGAAATGAAAAACGAACTGGAGTAGCTATTCTTATATCTGATAAAACAGACTTTAAACTAAAAACCATAAAAAGAGATAATGAGGGCCACTACATAATGATAAAAGAATTGATCCATCAAGAAGTCATAACAATCACAAACATATACACACCCAATGTCGGAGCAGCCAGATTTATAAAGCAAACCCTATTAGACCTAAAGAAGGAAGGAGATACTAATACCATAATAGCAGGGGACCTGAACACCCCACTATCAATATGGGACAGATCATCTAGGCAAAGAATCAGCAGAGAAACACAAGATCTAAACAACACTCTAGACCAACTGGACCTGGCAGATATCTACAGAACATTCCATCCAACAACCTCAGAATATTCATTCTTCTCATCAGCACATCGATCATTCTCCAGAACAGATCACATGTTAGGTCACAAATCAAATCACAACAAATTCAAAAAAACTGGAATTATCCCACGTATTTTTTCAGATCACAATGGATTAAAATTAGAAATCAATAAGAAACAAAGCTCTGAAAACTATGCAAACACATGGAAACTAAACAACATTCTACTTAATGACATGTGGGAACAAGAAGAAATTAAACAAGAAATCAAAAAATTTCTTGAAACTAATGAAAATAACAACATATCATACCAAAACCTGTGAGATTCTGCAAAAGCAGTATTAAGGGGAAAATTTAATGCATTAAATGTTTACTTCAGAAGAATAGAAAGATGGCAAATAAATAACCTAACACTTCACCTTAAAGGTCTAGAAAAACAAGAACAATCCAAACCTAAAGTTATTAGATGGAAAATGAAAACAATGATACATCATACCAAAACCTGTGGGATACTGCAAAAGCAGTATTAAGGGGGAAATTTATTGCATTAAATGCTTACTTCAGAAAAATGGAAAGATGGCAAGTAAACAACCTAATACTTCACCTTAAAGAACTAGAAAAAAAAGAACAATCCAAACCCAAAGTTAGCAGACAGAGAGAAATCATTAAGATCAGAGCAGAACTTAATGAAATTGAAACCCCAAAAATGATACAAAAGATCAAGGAATCAAAAAGATGGTTTTCTGAAAAGATAAATAAAACTGACAAACCATTAGCATAGCTAACTAAAAAAAGAAGAGAAGATCCAAATAAAAAAAATTAGAAATGAAAAAGGTGATATTACAACTGATACATCTGAAATACAAGGAATCATTCGAGACTACAATAAACAACTATATGCCAACAAATTTGAAAATCTGGAGGAAACGGATAAATTTCGGGACACACACAAGCTACCAAAACTGAGCCAAGAAGATGCAGAAAATCTGAACAGACCAATAACAATAAAAGAGATTGACGCTGTTATCAGAAAGCTCCCAACAAAGAAAAGCCCATGACCAGCACAGAAGGACCATATGATCATCTCTATAGATGCTGAAAAAGCATTTGATAAAATTCAACACTCATTCATGATAAAGACTCTCTATAAGTTATA